CTCCTTAATAATTTTCCTCAATAACTGTTGATACCGATCCAGCTGTGAGCTTTTTAATCTGACGTCGTCTGCAGCTCATTAAAAGGTGCAAACATCTGTCATGTATCCGTGTGATGTGGCACCTCAGGAGAAGCTGTGCCAGATCAATACCTGGCCACAGCGCGTGTCACTTCCATTGATCCTGATGGCAAAGGTCACAAAGATCCAGCTGCAGAGTCCACAGACCGCCTGAGGAAACACACACACAACATGGTGCTGCTTGATGTTTCCGTGAATTGAAGAACAGGAGGAGCTTTTTTTTATTAAAACGGGAATCGTCAGCCTCCAGGTGCAGCTGGTTTCTTTGGAATGACGCTTTGTCAGAGAGTTGACAGTTTTGTTTTTTAAAGGTTCAGTGTGTGGAATTTAGTGACATCTAGGGGTGAAGTTGCATGTTACAGCTGAATACCCTTCACCTCACCCTCCCCTTTCAAACATGAAGGAGAACCTTTTGTAGCCTTCAGTTGTTGTAAAAACTCAAAAGGTGTTTAGTTTGTCCAGTCTGGACTCCTTTAAAAAACATTAGCTCCATAAAGAGGACCCGCTCTGGATGTAAATATTTAAATATAAGGGGCCTATGCTGAGGTGAAGGAAACAACGATTTATACAATTACACTTATATTCTATTTTTGCCAATAGATCCCTTTCACCTAAATCTTACACAATGGACCTTTAAGGGCAGCGTTCAGTGCAGTGAATGTCATGGGTGCTGGATGGGTTTCAGGGGCTGTTTGTGCTGAAGGGCTGTGATGTGCTGTCATTTCCATTACACTCAAACACTGGCAAGAAAGGACAGTTTGACACCAGACTGGGATGAAAGTTGTCTCCCACCCACATAAGTGGCTCGTAAGCTCCACATTCGTTCTTCTATTTTCGACCTGTAGATGGAATCCAAACCTTAACACACCTCATTTACCTCCTCACACAGAAAACACTGACTTAAAGTACGTTAAAAGTTGTGTATACGAGATATTACATGTTAGTGTAGTGGAGTAATGGTTTCCTGAACAGAGAATGAAGTCACACTCACTTGTGTGGGTGTATGTGTGTGTGTGTGTGTGTGTGTGTGTGTGTGATCTTCTCTGCCCTTTGCTTTGGAAGCTGGTGCAGGCACACATTCATGTTAGTGCATGCGGGTCCCTCCCTGTGAAACTGTGCCCTCCCCATGTTATTAATCAAGATAGCAGAATCCAGTTCACCCACAATCCTCTCCACGGACAAAACCACGAAAGTTCTGTTCACTCTGTACAAAAAACCCACTAACACTGCTGAGTTGTCTTCAGTGTGAAAGTTTGCGATCCGCTCCGTTCCTGGGTCAAATGACTCTGCAGTCGTCACATGTAGCAATCGGCTGCTCAGATCAGCAGTGGTATAAATTTTCACCACTTTTCCACTGTGTGACGTCTTTCAGAGCACAGAAACACTGTGAACCCAAATGCTTTTCAATTTTCATTCAGTCTGTGGGCCACACAGCAAACCAAGGCAACGCTAGAATGCTAGCCATGATAAGTAGCTGCAACCTGCACCAACTCACAGATGAGAAGTAATGGATCCATGTTACGAGTGTGGTCAGCAGCTCGCTGGATTGTGTTTTTGTCAGCTCTCTTGTACACAGGGCCACTTTATTCTGTTAGTTGTGTTCTTGAGTGCCATTTTCACTCGGCTGCACAAATTGACTGTATAGGTAACACCCACAGACTGTATATAAAGATGGTCGATGTGGCTCCACTTCCTCCCACTGCACAAAAATAAGGCCAAAATATCTCAAATAACTAATTGCAACCACATTTACTGGAAATATAAACACTTGAACATGCATTAGTGTCTGAACTTCCCAAAATTACAGAAACCATATTTTAAACCCACGTCCTATCCACTAACATGGAGGAGGCTCGTTTATGAACTACACTGCAGTCAGCCACCAGGTTGTGATCCAGATGTTTTGGCTTCCCTTTAAGGAGTTGTCAGGTCGGTAACACCTTTAGAGAGGACAGCGGTTGGGGGAGGTGTGACAAATCTTTTGTTTTGGTCCAAGATGCTGGTGTTAGAGCGACATCTAGTGGCAGTAAATATCTTGTATATAATCGATAATTGCCTGTAAACCAGTGACACTCTCATAACATTGCCTGTCAAAAGATTTCAACTCGACATTTTATAGTTTCCTCTGAAGGCCTGGCTCCCACTGTCACAACACACACACACACGTAATAGGATCAGTGTGTGTGTGTGTTCAGCTCAAATTCCATGCAGCAATGTACGATGCTTGTGTGTGGTCTGCGTATTTCTCATGCTGTGGGGACCAAACATATCTGTACACAGCCACATAATGGGGACAAACAGCAAAAGTTATCATAAAGTACATAATTCAAATTCATGTTTAGAGTACGACTCCAGGAAATGACACGATAATCTCCTCTGAAGTCATGGAGACATGACTGTTTGTGTGTGTTTGAGTGTGTGTGTGTGTGTGTGTGTGTGTGTTTGTGAGCTCAGTCAGTCTCACCGCCCTTTGGGGCCACAAATCTCTCTCAGATAAAAGTGTTTTCACAGATGGTTTGGGGAAAAAGTGGAAAGCCAGAACCAGATGTTTTAAACCCAGAGAGACGACGGAGCCGAACACCCACCCTATGCTCTCCTCCAAAAGATCCTCCAGCTATTTAGTCGCCTTTCTCCTGTTTGAGCTTTCTTATTACAACAACCGCAAAGGATCGTCCCCACCCACACCAGCCGCCGTGGCTCGCTGTAGCCAAAAGAGCGAGCATCATCCTGTCTCAGGCTGCTGATTCAGCACATTTCATCCTCATCATTGTAATGGGCTGCGTAAGAGTCTTCTGCTCCTTGTTTCAGCTCATGTGGAGGTGCAGAGGGTGAGGTGAGGTGTCATCCTCCATGTAAATCCTGCTACAAGATGCAGATATTCAGTGAGATTTGCAGTCAGAGGCCTAAAAAAGACACGTAAATGCAACGTAATAATGGAGAAAAGTTTTAGGACTTGATGTCAGAGTTGTGTAACTTGTGATTTGTGTGAGATTCGCAGCTTGACAGTATCTTGGTATTTCCACACCACAATGTTTGGACTGATTTTTACCCCTGTGCACTAAATGTGAAGCCAGAGCCAGGAGACGGTCAAGTTATCATATGGACAGGAAATGACATGAAAATACCCTTCCCAGCTGTATTCAACACTGTTGGATAAACATTTCCTCAAGTTATTCAGTAAATCCTTTTACCCTGTATGGAAGAATCTGTATTTCATATATATGTACACTAATTTACTCAGGTTTGTCCTTTAACATGTCTCCAGTGTGTGTGTGGATGTTTTACACATGTATCTGATGGTGATGGAGCTAACGGGTTAAACCCACTCTGACTGCTGACTGGAGGCTGCAGTTAGTCTGTATTATCAAAGTGAAACCAAGCACAGCCTCCATTTTCTGAGAGCAACAAAACCTTCTGTCAAGCCTGCAGGAGCTGAGTATGTCAAAGTGAAAACATCATGGGGTGGACAAAATTGTTGAGCTTCACTTAGGACACACAGTTACACTCTGACAAAGTTCTGCTTCTCCATGTAAATGCATAGAGATTACAGAATCTGTATTTACTCTGCCCTGTGTCAAAGCAAGTCTCACATGAGGGCAACACTACCAGAGCGTGAAAGGTTTACTAATTCACATCTGTGTTTACATGGTTTCACACTCAACTTGTCTTGTCGCGTTATGCAAATATAGAATAAATACAAAACACAGTCATATACAGTTGTGTTTGCATACACACTGGTCGGCTGGGTGAAGCATAAAATCTTGACTTGTCGGTGTGAACGGCCACATGTTGGATTTAGTTTTCGCTGAACTGGGGGGGGGGTGTATGTGCTGGATATTTAAGGAGAATGGAGCAGGAGGAGACAGCAAAACAAAGATAGATGCTGGCGTGCTGGTGTCATGCCACCGCTAATCCACCGAGCCCCTCGCTTGTCCCCTGCCTCCAAAGACAGAAAGAGAGAGAGTGGGAGGTGATGGGCAGCGGACCAGATGCTCTCTGGGAAACGGACGCTGTGCAGGCTGCTGTGCTTGCGACTGACAGATAGAGGGAGGACAAGATGATTGGGTGGAAGGTGTGGGAACATGACAAGGTCATGGTGGGCTCTGAACCCCTCTCATCCCTGCGGGCAGAATGCTGTATTATTCATGTCCCCCAGGGCAACCTGCACGCCACCCTGGAGGAGGATTCAGGCTGGACACACACAACACATGAATAATTAACTGTTAGAATATTTATAAAACAGGACTGTTGTTAGTCCAAAATGAATCTTAAAGGAGTAATGATGAAGAAGTTGTGACTTTGATTTTACTAACACAAATTCTCCTTTTCCTGTCTGTGCCCTCAGTCACCAGGCATTTGCTGCAGGTTGAAGCCACTTCCCCACACCACACACTCTCATCTCTCCCAGGCGTTTAAAGGAAGGCACGAGTTTATCATGCAATCAATAATCAATTAGATTTTATTCACAAATCACATTAGCCTCATAGGAAGATGCAACATCCTCTGTAAATGAAGGGGCGTGTCATGTTTAAAGTATTTATACAAAACAAATGCCTGACTGAGATGAAGGGAGCAGCAATGGCAAATGTAATGATAGAGGTGTGGTCAGTATGTGAGCAGGGACATTGTATAGGTTATGTATTTCCTGTGTAGTCAGAGCCTGCTCATCAAGAACACAGAAAATAGTGATAATGTCAAAAAGTTGAATACACACCCACCTAAGTTTATGATCTGCCCATGGGAGAGGCCCACTGAGAGTGTTTGTGTCTGCAGAGAGCTGCTCGCTGTCAGTCTGATAGTTCTGGGCAGAGTCTGCAGAGTTACAGCAAAGCCAGACATGATGCAGCATCAGTCAGGGAGATGCTGCTCAGGGGACCGCAGGTTGTGGTGTGCTCACTGTGGTCAGGAGGAGCACAATAAATTCCACTCAGCAGTCCAGCGCTTCAACCATGTTTTTATAGTTATCACAGCCCCAGGAGGTTATGTTTTCACTGCTGTCTGTTAGTCTGGTTCTTTGTAAGCAAGATTACGAGAAACTGCTGGACGGATTAATATGAAACTTAACGGAGGGATGTCATATGAGTCAGGAAAGAACCCAGTGCATTGTGGTGCAGCTCCAGATCGTCTCTTTAACATTGAGAGTTTATAGAATAATTATAGAGAATAATTCATTCATCTTAATAATCAGTCATGTTTAAAGGACTGGTATTTATGAGTATTTATGACCAATAATGCTTTTGTTGTATGTAAGAGCACGAGTCCTTTAACATTTACAATGACATTATTTGCAGAAAATGTTAATCATATAAATAATCATTCACAAAATTAGATTGATCCACAGTAACATGGCAAATTGATAAGTGTTTATATTCATTTATTATTCAAATGTATCTTTTTATTGTTTTATCTGTGAGACTTGTAGCAAAACCACAGTAATCTTGAACTGCAACAAAAAGTACAGTGCAGACTAATGGCTTATTGATGACTGATCATTATTACACAGAGTTAATGCAACAGTCACATGTTACATTTACATGTTACATGATTTAGTATGCAGCAGTAGAGGTCAGATGGATTATTGATGGCACATACAGCTCAAACTGCCATGTGTGTGTGTATGTGTGTGTGTGTGTGTGTGTGTGTGTGTGTGTGTGTGAGACTCATAGCCATGCAGCCGCTCGCCTGAATCACTTTGAGGAAGCTGCTCATTTTGCTTCCAGCACAGTTCATATGATGTGGAGAGTCAGGACGACACTTGTGTGAATCAGCATCTGGAGATGCCGCCGCTGTGCGCCTGCTGATGAGAATTTCACATCATGTTTCAGTCAAGTGATGCCTCTGCAGGAATCATAGAAAATCTGTGCAGTGTTAACAACAGGAAGACAAACCAGAGAGAAAAGGGGAGATTCCATCTCTGCCAATAGTTCCCTGCTGGCTTTCATTTCCAAGTCTTCATGTATCTGAATATAAATAGTGACAAATATATACGGTGTAAACCTGCCTCTCACCTCAAGTAACTTTTAATAATGAACATTTTTATTCATGTTTACAGTGTTTTGCCAAGTTGTTCCCTTTTGCATCTCCTGCAGCTGAGCTGTACTCACGGAACCTTCCACATTGGAAACATTTTAATGACAGTAACCCCTGCTGTGTTTCCTACAGGTACAAGGAGTTGATGACAGGAAAGACTGCCCGAGAGATCATCGCTATTTTATGGATCCTCTCCTTTATTATCGGCCTCATCCCTTTCTTTGGCTGGAACCTGAAGAATTCATGCTGTGGGAACAGCAGCTCCATGGGAGACAACACTACAAACGTCACCCTCAGCCAGGAGCTGAGCGGTGGAGGAGACTTGCTGCAGAGTTGCAAGCTGCAATGCTTCTTTGAGAAAGTGGTGGACATGCACTACATGGTCTACTTTAACTTCTTCATCTGCGTGCTGCTGCCTCTGCTCATCATGCTGGGCATCTACCTGAAGATCTTCACCGTGGCCAGGAAGCAGCTGAGGAAGATCGAGCTCAAGTGCGTGGGAAACGGCGAGAGCCACCACCACGGGCTGTTACAGAAGGAGATCCGGGCGGCCAAGTCCCTCTCCATCATCGTAGGACTGTTCGCCGTCTGCTGGCTGCCCGTCCACATCCTCAACTGCCTCACGCTGTTTTACAGCGAGCTGAAGAAGTGGGATGTCGTCATGTACGTGGCCATTATTTTGTCTCACGCCAACTCTGCGGTCAACCCCATCATCTACGCTTACCGCATCCAGGACTTTAGGGACACTTTCAGCAAGATCCTGTCCCAGCACTTCCTGTGCCGCAGGGAGGAGCGGTACGTCAGCTCTAACAGCAGAAGACGCAACAGAGACCAAATACACATGACCATCGACCCTCTACTTTAGAAAGTCAAGCTGAAGAAGAGCGTCGCCTGTGACGGCTCTGTGGTTTCAGTCTTGAATTTTATTTTTACTGAGGTTTCTAATGTTTACAGAAGGGGGGTATGATAGGTGGAGCTGAAGCGCCTTGAATGTGGACATTTATTTATGAACTGTGCCAAGTGTCAGGGGTCAAGCAGTGAAAGGTTGAACAGTGAGTCTTATGTAACTTTTGTATTGTGAAGGATTTAAAAAATGTTTTATAATGAAGTGAACTGGATGTGCAGGACTGTGAACAGGATCCAAACTTAAAATGTTATTTATCATTCTGAATCCACCTTGTTACTACTAATCCAAACTTTATTGTCAGCATTCAGAAACAGTGTTTGATCATTTATTTATTATAAACTTTATGTTTGAGAATGTAAAGATAAAAAAAACTTTGTGTGGCTAAATCTGTGCTTGTGGACCTAGAAAGGTACAACAGCATCATCTTCATCCCATATTCATCCAGATGACCACCACAGGCTCAATATACAGAGGAAGGCTCAATATGGTTATAAGAGGAGGCTTAAAGGTCCAGTGTGTAAGATTTAGGTGAAAGGGAACTATTGGCAGAAATTGAATGTAGAATAATCCTAATGATGTTTTCACTAGTTCATTTCATCTACATTATAGTTTTCTTTACCCCAGAAAAGACCATTTATATTTAAATACTTTATATTTACATTGAGGGGACCCTCTCTACGGAGGCCGCCATGTTTTTTACATTAGTCCAAACTGGACAAACTAAACACCTTTCAAGTTTTTATGACAACTGAAGCTACCACAGGTTCTTTTTCATGTTTGGAAGTAGAGGGTGAGGTGAGGGGTGTTCAGCTGCAACATGCAACTTCAACACTAGATATCACTAAAATCTACACACTGTTCCTTTTAACTATGATATTTTACACAATATCTGTACAAATACCTTTGTATAGCAGAGATTTTTTTGCTGCTAAGTGCCAGTGTTTGCAAGCATCCCTGCTTTTGCACCGATCCTCCATAGAAGCTGCATGTACTGGTGGAGGGACATGGTGGTGCACAGTGGAATCAAAAACAGGGACTCTCCTGCCATCAACTTTACTAGAAGAAATTGAGGATGAAAGCAAGCATAAACAAGGAAGAAAAATGCTGTTCCTATCCCAAGAATCAACTCTCAGAACCAAAGGGTTCACAGCCTTGTATCATGACCCCTGTGGCTCCACTCCAGAGGAGGGAGTTTCTGTGGGTTCCTTGACAAACAGCTTGATTTGATTTAGTCATGCAGGCCCAGAAATAAGTAGCAGTTCAGCAAAACACACCTATAGTGGTGATGCCTATTATTTCCATATTTCTTCAGACAAAGGCTCAGAAGTGGGAAAGTGATTGTAGGCTTTATAGAAATATGGCATCGCCACAGGGCATTTTCAGCTGCTTTGTGAGTAAACAAGCCAATTTAAAGTTTCCTCATCACGCAGGCTTCTGTTGCACATGTATCTAGTGGATTACAGAACAAAAAGAACCAATGCTTTGTTCAGGTTCAGAGGAGTGCAGCTGAAAACACCCACTCCCCTGAGATAGTCTCAACTGGGATCCTGAGGCTCCTCAGTCCTTCCAAAGCTGCTGAAGTCAACAACCGACAGTTTGGATTTTTAAAGCTGATCCTTCAAAGAACACCTGCACTGAGGACTCATTTTAATCAAACTACTAATAATTTATTACTCTCTCTTCTTAGCAAAGATAGATGACAAAGTCCAGTTTGTCCCAGAAAAGGAGAGATCACTCTGGAGAGTGAAACAGGAAACATGAAACGTTCTCCTTGTTTGCTCTCAGTGGTGCTCGCAGTGCATCATAGTTTGAGGGAACGCAGCTGCGACACTGCTCTCCTGGTCTATAAGCTCCTGATGCTGTAGGGCTGTGGTGGTCAGCATTGTTCTGACGACAAGGGCTGATGAATCTCAGAAAAACAACTGATTTGATAGAATCAGAGTTTTGTTTTTGGGGTGTTTGTAATTTATGTAAAAAAAGAAGTGGGTGTTTTCGATCACCTGAGAGCCATCACTACACACACAGACACACATTGCACTGACATTTTCGAGTATTTCCTACGTGGTGTGCTCCATCGGTCGTGTTGGTGTTGAACCAGTGTTCTTAAGTTGAGCACTTGCCTCCACTGCTTCATTATCACCCCCTCAGTGTCCAGTGAACGACCTCTGACCTGACTTCAAGGGCTAAAATACAGGAGTGTGCCGACATTATAGTACATTCCAATGGAGACAACTATACTGTACCTGCACTGTAACGTTGTAATATATTGTCAATGTCGACTGATGTGTAAAAAAATAAGTACTGTAAGTGTCCAGCTTTATACAAGCTCTTCATTGATGTCAAACTTCTGCCTTGTTCTTTTTGTGATTTAAAAAAATAGGAAAGTCGGACGATAACAAGTTGATCTAGTTCAACATTCCTGCCTTTCATTCCGAAGTAGCTATCTGTCTGTGTGCTATAGTGACGTTACTAATCAGGAAAAACATCCACTGTGCTCGAGCTGATGTGCAACCTTTTCCAGAGGCCATTTTTTTCATTCAACAAAACGACAGCTGCAAACTGATACTGCTATTTAACATGATGCAATCTGTATGTATGGTGAATTATTTTGTTAATAAAGTTCATGTTTATATTGTTACAGATCAGTCTTTATTCCATAAAAAAACGTATTTCCAATATTTGACGATTCATATTCACAAAATAGAGCAAAAGACAAAATATATTCTTCTATAAAAATGCTTCTGAGGTAACTTTAGTATTCAGATGCACAATAATTTTTTTAATAATGTGAATAACCTCAAACGGGGAAAGTCACATAGAAAGGGACCGATTGAAGAGTGAAGTAGAGAAGAATAGAAATCGGACCGAGAGTTTGATGTTTGGTTGGTAGAAACAACAGATTGCGTTTCCATTTGCAAATAAAATATATTAAGGTTTAAAAAATGTGTCTGAGGTCACTTCAGCATGCAGATGAACAATACTTCCTTTAATAATGTGAAATAACCTAAAAAATCAAGAAACTCACACTCAAGGAACAGATGTTTCCCTTGACACAGATTGAGGTTTCTTTCAACAGAAAAAATAAATAAAGCAACATCTGGTACCTCTCACAGAAACATCTAGAAGAGCAGAAGTGTGGCCATCCTTTAAGAGTGCTTCACTGCAGTGGCACAAGATGCCAGTGTGAAACGTGGACCCTCATTCAGGAGGCTCCGTACTGTCCCTTTGGAGCCAGATGTGCTGCTCCTGCTGCTGAACTTGGTAGTGAACGTACCTGCCTGTCAGGGGTCTGCGGTGCCGCTGAGCAGCATCGACATGTGCTGATCAGACACACTCTCCTGCTGAGTCACACCCATGGCCTGGCAAAGGTAGGCAGCCAGGATGTGTTTGCACTGTGAGAAAAGAGAAATGACGCTGATTCAATAAATTACCACAGGCCCCAGTGTGGTTAATGACATGCATATGAAGCCCTGGTAATGTAATACCTTTCTGCTGACAATGTTAGTCACGAGGCCAAAGGAAAGAATTATTTCCAATGTTTATATGAAATTATAAATATTTATATAAATGGAAAGTGCACAAGATTAAGAAGGTAACGAGTGTTTCTTTCCAAACGGAGAATTCGTGTTATGAATGACGAGTAATTCCGGATGTTCATGTTGAATGACATATAATTCTGCATCTGTTCATGTGTTATTATTATCAATATGAACATGTTAATCATTGACTTGTTTTCAGCCTCAGCCTGTTTCATGCATTATAAAAGAGGCTTCCTCCACACCAGCGCCTGTGGATTAGTGTTTTGCATTAACAATGAGCCAAACTCCAAGTGTGGTGAAAAGGACAAATGTGCAGGAGTTTGTTTACATGCTTGTCCTGTCAGCTCGTATTTTGAACTCATGGTCGCCTGCTGTCAGAGGGAGTGCAGCTTTATCTGTCCTCTGACCTACATGTCAGTAGTGTGGACCTGGTCTGGCCTCAACCAGTCATGTTGGAGTCTGTGGAGCCCCTGAATGGACAGAGTGGCTCCAGCGGGGGAGGACTGCAGACACCACGGTCAAACTCAAAAGTCTCCTGTGTCAACTGCCATCAGTTTAGACTTTGGAACTGAGAAGCTAAAGTAAAACCTGATCCACCAAAAGCCTCATCTTGTAACATCAGTCCACGCCTCTAGGGACAAAAAATAGAGCCCAGCCAATATGGATTTTTGGGGGTCAACGCAGATTGTGATATTAGGAAGCAAAAAATATCTGATACAGATATAGTGGCCAATAAAGAAATATATATTCTGTAAGATAAGTTTCTCTATCAGCAAAAATCAACACAGATATCGATATGTCTGTGAAAGGCTCACACTGGCAGATTTTTTTTCATAAATCTACATATTTTTCGGAGTTCTTTCATGGGGAATTATACGTGGCACGGATCCGCTTATCCGTTGCAGATCTCGGTTCTCACAGTGATTTTAGCAGCGTTCTCCAGGGAAACAAATCCCTGTGATACTCAGAGCAGCAGCTGAGGTCGTTTGCTTGCAGATTTTTGGAGGCAAAAACACCCATTCGGGGCAGAGACGCCCCTTAGTGACCAAACAAAAACCCGACCAGACCACAATACATCTGCAATGCATATTTCAGCATGTGCTTCTTCCCATTATTGACGCAAGCAAACTTTTTTTTCTCCAGGACACAGGCCTGACTGACAAGAAACACCTTCACCTGTCTGTGTGTCAATATGCTTTTGTATACACTGCATACATGATGTGATTGTTAAAACTTAAACCAAAGGTCAAAAACAAGCAAAGTCATTAAAACTGTTCAATCAAACAGTTTATTAGAGAGGAATAGAAATCTGACCATGTTTGGTTGATATAAATAAAGTTTCAATTTGCAGCCCAAACTGTTTGTCACTTTCTGTGTCGGACTCACCAGCAGGCCTTCGTTTCTGCGGAGCACGGTGTAGGCAAAGGCCGGACACGAGCAGTAGTGACAGGAAACAAAGCAAGTGTACAAACGCCCCGAGTCCCCGCTTACCTGCAACAGAAACATGCAAAGTATGTTCAAACATGTGGCTTTATGTTCACAGCAGCTTGTGTGAGACATATCATACACAGCGTGTGATAGTGTCAGTTGTTCCTTTAAGGTTCACTTATCAGATATGATCATATGCTGCAGGAGAGCAGCAGCGGAAACAGTGACAGGTTGACGCAAGTCAACAATATAATACACAATCTCTCACCACAACTTTCAAAATGACACTGACTACAGGAAGTGTTTACCCACGTTGGACTTTTTTTTTTCAAGTGTTTCCTTTTGTAACTTTGAACTTTTTGCATTTATTTGTAATATTTTGAAGTTGTTACGTTAAATGAAGACATTCATATTTTGTTCTGTTTGTTAATTGCGCACAATTTGGCGACAGTGGACGTTAGCAGTTACTAGCTATGGCCAGAACAGGAGCAGCTCGTGCTGTTCCAACTCACCATGGTAATCACTAAAGAATAAAATCATCAGAAATGACACCACACTGTACAGTGAAACCAGTAACCACTTCATCCCTAATCACTGCACAGTCGCAGCTAACCACCTGAAGTTACCAGGATTTCAAAACATGTTGCAGTGATTTCCACTTTTCAGAATCACGTGTGTATCCTTGAGACACCAGTTCAACAAGCAAGAAACCTGCCGACCTCCAAAACGTTCCTCAAAACACACTTCCTCAGAACTGCTTGAATGAGTGTGGTTGATATTTCTAATCATTTACTTTCATTAGCTTTCTCTGTTCTAAACCTATGTACAGTAAAAGCAAATGTATTATTAATAAAGTTAATAATTGTTATAATAATAATTATTACCCAGTGTCTATTTTGAGGATAACTCCATTCTGGACTCTTCTTGTAAATGTTTAATTACAGTGACAGACCAGTGGTTGAGTTGAAGGTGATGTTGCACTGACCTCATCATTTCACATTAGTTATTTGCAGGTAACGAGATAGAAACGATACATTTTTAAACAGCCTGTGTGACACAACTCTGGAGTCTAATGGCCTCGGCTTTCCACGCTTTCAGCTCCAGTCATTTCAGTCTTGTCCTCATGGACGTGACACACGAGGACATTAAGTCTGAGGATAAGCTTGACACTTCACAATAACTAATGCTTTCCAAGATGGCAGAGCAGGCTCCATTACTTCCGTGGGCTTCCATAAATTACCTTTCGCGGTGACCTACTAAAGTAAAAACACCTCATTTGTCCCCTGTGACACTTCATTATAAATAAGGCACAAGAGAGACAATCACATGGACTTAAAAATCTTTAGTGAGGATGAATAAAGCACCACACACAGCAGGACGGGGACAGAATCAGTAGAGCTGTGTGGGCCGAGCCAAGGACCGCTACAGTTTCTTAAGAGCCAAAGTTTATTGAAACCCAGCTCACACTCGGGTCCTTTTTGTTCTCTGCTGGCATCAAAGATTGTGGGGCTCTGCTGCAGCTCACACTGCAGAGCTGGAAGCTGATATCATCAACACACAGCACACAAACTGTAGGCGTCCACTGCCTGGCAGGGATTCAGAGCTCGCCAACAAACACCACACATTCAAATCTGCCGTTCACCACTCGCTGCAGATGGAGCAGCGAGAGTTAAAACCTCAGCAAAGCTCCTTCTCTGTCCGAAATGTTCCCTCTCACGGGAATACTGCTCAGGACAGGAGTTTGGACTGCCCTCTGTCCACTGGTTACGCTATATAAACTGTTGATATTTCAAGCTCTGGGAAGTCACCGAGATACATAGCCGTTGAATCTGTGCTCTGGCATCACCAGTCACCACAGACTGACCCCTTAATTTGACCCCTGAATCTTTGGCCGATGAACTCCTTCTTCTCCCCTCATTAATTCCACATACTGTTTGTTTTAAATTGCAGTTGACAAGCTAAACAATAATATGAAAAAGTTTAAGGAAGTCTTAAGCTGCCACTGCTAATAACCAGTCGCTCACATTAGCACATCCATATCTCAGTTGCTCCTTTCGTCCGCTCCATTCTTTTCTATAGTTTTATTACGTCTGAAGAAGGGGTCGTCTGGGCTAAACAGTGTTTACCCCTGAAACTCCTAAAGTGTTTTGTGGACTTAAACACTTCACCCACCCCTCCATCTGCATAGTGGTGAGTAGATAATGAGTGAATTTATATTTTTCAGTGAGCTATCCCTTTAAAGGTCCAGTGTGTAAGATTTAGGTGAAAGTGAACTATTGGCAGAAATTTAATGTAGAATAATCCTCATGATGTTTTCACTAGTTTGTTTCATCTAAATTGTATGAATTGTAGTTTTCTTTACCACAGAAAAGGCCCTTTATATTTAAATACTTTATATTTAAATACTTTATATTTACATGGAGGGGACCCTCTCTATGGAGGCCGCCATGTTTTTTAGTCCAGATTGGACAAACTAAATACTTTTTGGGTTTTTATGACAACTGAAGGTTGAAAACATGCAATTTCAACACTAGATATCACAAAATTCTACCTTTAAGTACATTTATTTACTCCACCACATATATCAGCAAATAGCTCTACTTTCTACTCCACACTGTTTTTACAATGCATTGGTTTAAATGTCCACAATATTTTTTTTAGTTTTTAAAAGTAATGAGAGGGGAAATGGTTCATTGATCTAATCAGGTCTTATATTAAACAGAATATACAGTGCACAATGATGTAGTAGACTGTTGCATCAGGGAATAAGCTACAATCTGCAGGTACTTTTACTTTTATTACTTTTGTCTTTTTATTTTTTGCCTTTTCTTAACTAAAATGTTTGAGTACTCCCCTCCCCCGGTACGATGTCACCAGGTCAAACAGATGGTCTCATACTACACCCATACTTCTCTTCAATTCAGTTCACAATTCTCACTCTTACATATTGTTCACTGCATCATCAAGCCCCTACACATCTATCAGTAAACTATTTAATCGACAACCAGTAACAGTTTGTTGAGTAAAACTCTGCTGACTGCTGAGTGTGGAGTCTCATTACTGCTGAGTATACACCAACTACTTCCATTTCCCAACAGGCTTCAATACACCAGAAAAGGTCACAGTGTTAACTGTGATAAGGTGAAAAGCACTGAAACGCCAAGATTTCATAAGTTATTCATTCCCTATGAGGAAAGAGGAAAACAAATGTTCACATCAACATGAGTAACTCAGTTGCGTCCCACAGGAAATGACAACGAAAATTGTGTAATTTGTGAATTTATCAACTTCTGTCTCTCTCTTACGTAGAGTCCAGGTAGCACGCAACTCACTGTACTCACAGTAAACCCAGTGCTGTGTGTGGTGGGAGAATAACGTTTTTTTTTCCAAACTTGGGTCTCTGGGAATTTTACTTCTATTATTTTGAGCTTCATTTTTTTATAAGCTGCTGTGATAAATCTGCTCTCTTATCTTCTCCCTGCCTCACAGGAAACTCATGAAGACAAGATGACTAAGTGCATTCGGGTTTTATTTTTAAAACAGCTCCTCAAACCTTCGTCAATGCATTCACTCTCTTCAAAAGGTTTAATGACGGTTTTCTAACTCACAGTGCCGTCATGCTGGCCACGTAAATGTCAGACGATTCTCAGTCATCCAGGTTGTGGTTTTATTCAAGAAGAGATGAACTGAGGACAACTGGACAGGTTTGCAGATTCTTGAGAATCTTTCATAAAGAGGCTTCAGCAGTTCTGACTAATTGGTGAGGACACACTGAGCAAAAATACTGCGCGCTCTGACCTGACATGTTATGACTGAGAGGTGTTTCCTGTCCTTTTATTTCCCAAAAGTAAGAAAGCTGCTGTAAAAGTATTTAGCAAGAGCCTGAATTATAAAACAATGCAGTGTCAGGCGATAACTTACGGAGAGCTTGGTTTGTGTTATACAGCTGCCCACAGAAGTGGAAGCTCAAACTAAATATTTGTGCCATGGCTCAGTGACAGAATTTGAACAGACCCTGTGTAAACTTCAGTCTCACTTAATGTATCCCAAACTGTCACAACATAAAACAGAACCTGCCACCATGACAGGAGCAACACTCCCACCTGATAAATGTCCCAATCTTCAAGATTTATGACAAAAAGATAGAAGAATAGAATGTAATCATTAATATTTATGTAGTAAAACTCGTTAAAGAGGAGTTTACATGCAGGTTGAGTGTCAGAAATATTCAACCTGGAAACATCAGAGAAGCTGAAATAAACACTTTAATCACAGTTATTAGTTATGTTGCTCTTAAGGAAACTGAAAAAGTCTGTGAAACCTTTGCAATGAAACTGTTTTCTGTATTAACTGGTCATAAAATGTGTAATTAACTCTATAAGCAGACATGGTGGGTTAATAATTAGACTTTGAAGGTGATGGTAGGTCACCACCTTTTTCAGAGCCAGTTCCCACCTGTTTCCATTCTGATAAAGAAGTCCCCTTCTTAAATACCCACAATCCATTTTAAACAAATCATGTGATGTATCAGCAATACAGAATATATACATCATAGATATCATAATAAATATACATAGAAAAACATATTGAATATAAACTCACTCATATAAATGTGTCACATCAATAGTTGGTATTCCATAATAGATTCTGGCTGAGTAGAATTCATAAATAGTGTCAGAGTAGCACAACAGATCAACATTCAAAACATTATTGGTACATTAGGTGTTCGGATTTTCTCTTTTTCAAAGGTTTTGTGATGTTTTTTTGATGCCGTACCGATCAAAAGATATTTTACTTGATGTGCATGATCTTTGTCTTAGTGAGGAGGTGTATTTTCCAATATGTTGTTTAACTGATTTTTTATGCAATGATTCTACAGCTGTTTCTGAGTCAAACCTGAAATGTTTGAGAGTGCAGCCATAAAGCAGAGCACAGAAGGAGACATGTGTGACCTTCCCACAGACTCACACTCATGCAAACAGCCTGAGTCATTTCCACTGACTGACACCAAACCAGAAAAACAGAACATGATGATGTGTTCTCAGTTTAGCAAATGACATGAAAACTGTGAGCTTGAGATTAAATGGCAATGGTGTGGACAGACCAGGACTGCAACTCACTAAAAATAAATTACTTTTACTTTTGTTGATGAAATGTGAAGTGAAAAACACACATTTCCAAAGTGATGCTTGTTTTGTTCAATGAAAAGTTCACACTTGAAACATGTTTAATTCACTATCGCACATGACAAAGAAAAGCAGCAAATCCTCATATACAGTTTTATATATATAGTTCAAATGCAATACTTTTATAATTTCAGATCTTAAAGGTAGAATTTTGTGATATTTAGTGTTGAAGTTGCAGCTGAACGACCCTCACCTCACCCTCTCCTTCCAAACATGAAAAAGAACCTGTGGTATCTTCAGTCGTCATAAAAACTCAAAAGGTGTTTAGTTTGTCCAGTCGGGACTATTATAAAAAACATGGCGGCCTCCGTAGAGAGGGTCCCCTCGATGTAAATATAAAGTATTTAAATAAAGGACCTTTTCTGGGGTGAAGAAAACTACAATTCACAATTTAGATGAAACAAACTAGTGAAAACATCATGAAGATTATTTTATATTCAATTTGTGCCAATAGATCCATTTCCCCTAAATCTTACACAC